CTTTATACCATGTCACGAAACCAATGATGCCACTAACATTGCGGACTTGTTTTTCAAATAAGTAGTGCGTTTTCATGGTGTTCCCAAAAGTATTGTGTTCGATAGTGATGTTAAGTTTCTTAGTCACTTTTGGGGGGTCTTGTGGATTAGGTTAGCCATGAAATTATTGTTTTCTACAACTTGTCACCCACAAATCGATGGTCAAATTGAAGTAGTGAATAGAACAATTACACAACTATTGTGCACTGTGGTTAGTAAAAATCTAAAGAATTGGGAAGAATGATTTCCTTTCATTGAGTTTGCATATAATAGGGCCACACATTCTACTACGTCGTTTTCACTATTTGAAATCGATTATGGTTTTAATCCTTTAACACCTATGGATTTAATACCTTTGGCTGTGAATAAACGAGGTAGCTTGGACATGAAAAAGAAAGCCGAATTGGTAAAGACACTCTATGAAATTGTAAGGGAGCAAATTGAGAGGAAGAACAATCAACGCACAACACAAGCAAATAAAGGCCGAAAATATGTCACTTTCGAACCCGGAGATTGGGTTTAGGTGCATTTCAGGAAAGAGTGATTCCCAGAGCAAAGAAAATCAAAAAGTTATTACCACGAGAAGATGGACCGTTCCAAGTGATTGAGAAGATCAACAGCAACGCTTATAAGATAGATCTTCCAGGTGAGTATAGTGTTCTCTACAACCTTCAATGTTTTTTACTTATCTCTTTTCGATGCAAGTGTAGATTCGAGGTCGAATCCTTTCAAAGTGGGAGGGGATAATGTGATCCAGGAAGCATAGGTACCAAAGTCAAGTCTAGAGTCAAGCTCGAGAAAAGATCAGTTGATAGTCGAGGGGCCGATGATGCGATTGAGGGCCAAGCATGTGAAAGAGGTGATGGGATTGCTCGTCAAAGCAAAGGTTGATGAAACAATGTTCGAGATGTAAAATGGAGCAAGTCTCATGTTAGGGATGAAGGACGAAGAGTATTGGATCAACGTGTTTAAAGCTGAAGAAAATGAAGCTGGAGCATTCAACCTTGCGGCCGCACAGGTCTAAAGTCCTACGATCGCATACACCCAACAAGTCCCAAAGTCAAAGACCAATTGCACTATACGACCACATGCTCTAAAGCTATGCGGCTGCATAGGTCAAGTTCGAGGCGAATTTTTCCAACTTTCGCATTTTTTCCTTATTTTAATAGAATTTCATTATTAGTAGATTTTTACCATAATTAGGTTATTGCGGACGAATTTTACATTATTCTTAGATATTTTTCCTAGTTTACTTAGCTTCTCCAAAATAGTATAAATACTTTCTTCCTTATTGTAAAACATTACAACTCTCATATTATTAAATATTATTCGTGAGGCATTAATTGCTTTCTCTCGTTCTTCGTTGAACAACTAGTGAACTTATCAAGATTAATCTTGTGGAGTTCAAATTAACAGAGTGAGATTCATTTAAATTGCGTAATCAAGAGGTCCAAATATTGTCGACGATTCAGGTAGCTTGTATCCAGTTTATTGGGTTTAATCTAAAACCTTATCATTGGCTTTCTTGGGTTTGATTCTCAATTTGTTGTGGCTTTGGTAGTGATCGCGCTACGTGGGTTCACATCAAAATGCCTGAAAATAAGGCTGCGTCTTGGACATGTCCTACACACCGTGTCCCAGAAACCCTAAACCATAAACACTAAGCCCTAAACCGTAAGCCCCAAGCATTAAACACTAAGCCCTAAGCCCTGAGCCCTGGATCGACAGACATGGATTGCCCAGTTTCAGAGGTTCGTAATTTAGGCTATGATTATTAAAATATTTTTATTGTATAGGGAAGTAGTACTTCCTCATTTATTGCTTCCATTTTATTATATTCAGTTGTTGCATCACTGCTTTTTGGAGGTCAGGTTCATGCCCCCTCCTTCCGTATATTCTTGATTTTTATGAAATAAATATGGTTGGGGAACCCTTAACCCCCATCGATCTTCCTTGATGAACCCTAAAAAGTCATTAAGGATGTGTGGATGTCTTTACCAAAAAAAAAAAAACCATGAACCAACCTTGGACCTTAGACCCTGAATCCTGAACCCTGGACCTCGAACCTTGAACCTAAAACCCTAAATCCTAAATCCTAAACCATTCTATTCTATTGTCTACAAAATTCCTCAAATTTTATTTGAAAATCTGTCGATTTTTCGCTTAAAATGGCTTCACTCAAAAATATTTTCTTATTTTCGACCGTCCTATTTTTGCTATGTATTCTTTCTGAAGTAAGAGAGTTTGTAGTAGGTAGTGAAAATAATTTATGGGCAGTTCCATCTTTTGTTGACGAGTTCAACAAATGGGCTGAGAAAACTCGTTTTCAAATTGGGGATTCTTTAGTTCTGAAGTATGATTCCAAGACTAATTCAGTGCTGGAAGTGACCGAGGAAGACTACAAAATCTGCAACAACGGCAATCCAATAAAATAACACCATGATGGAGAAACTACAATTTCATTGAAAAAATTAGGTCCATTTTTCTTCATCAGTGAAGCTGATGAACATTGCAAGAAGGGTCAAAAGCTAAAGGTTATGGTTCTGTCCTATAAACATTGCTCCGGCCACCAATCTACAGTGCAAGCACCTTCTCCTAATCATCAACATCACCACTACCATCCACCGGCGCCAGCCTCGACTAACGGTGGTACTCGTCTGAAGGCGGCGGAGGGGTTTATTTGTGGCACTGCGACGGTGGGAAGTTTGGTTTTGTTGTGTAGACTAGTTTTATTATTCATATGTTGTAATGTTGAGCTACATTTTATTTTCATTATTCTTTGTCATGTATATGCTTCCTGCTTTTAATTCTAAATTAATTAAAAAAAACCCCAAAACCCTAAACCCTATGACCCAAAAATTACCTAGAAATGCCTAGAAATCAGGCTGCATCCCTACCGTTGCTCGGACACAGCCTGCACACCGTGCCGACAAACTGTCTGAAAATTAGGCTGCGTCCCTACCTGGCCAGGACGTGTCCTGGACATGGCCTATACACTATACCCACAAACTGCCTATAAATACTTGAAAATCAGGCTCTGTTCCCGACGTGTCCCGGACATGACTTGCCTAGAAATGCCTAAAAATCAGGCTGCGTCCTTGCTGCGGCAAGGATGCGTCCTGGACATGGCCTGCACACTGTGTCCAAAAACTTCCTAGAAATGTCTAAAAATAAACCGCATCTCTACCGTGGCCAGGATGCATCCCAAACATGGACTGGACACAGTGCCCAGAAATTGTCCAGAAATGCCTAGAAATGCCTGGAAATCAGGCTGCTTCCTTGTCGCGGCCTAGACGCACCCTGAACATGGCTTGCACACCGCTTCCGAGAAACTGCCTAGAATTACATGAAAATTAGGCTGCATCCCTACCGTGTCCCAGACATAGCCTGTACACCGTATCCTAGAAACTGCCTAGAAATGCCTAAAAATCAGGCTACGTCCCAAACATGGCCTGCACACCGCTTCCCAGAAATCGCCTAGAAATACTTGAAAATCAAGTTGCGTCCATGCTGTATCCTGGACATTGCCTGCACACCGTGCCTAGAAACTGCTTAGAAATACCTGGAAATCAGGTTGCATACCTACCGTGATCAGGACGCATCCCGAACATGGCCTGCACACCATGCCCCAGAAACTGCCTAGAAATTAGGTTGCGTACCTACCGCGATCAGGACGCGTCCTGGACATGGCCTACACACCGTGTCCCAGAAACTGCCTAGAAATGCCTGGAAATCAGGTTGTGTACCTACCGCAATCAGGACGCATCCTGGACAAGGCCTACACATCGTGCCCAAAAATAGCCCTAAAATGCTTGAAAACTAGGCTCCGTCCCTGCCATGGGTCGGACACGTCATAGATAGAGCTTGCGCACCGTGACCCAGAGACTGCCTAGAAATGCTTGAAAATGAGGTTACGCCCTTGTCGCGGCCTGGATGTGTCCTGGACATGGCCTGCACACAATGCCCAGAAACTGTCGAAAAATTCTAGAAAATCATGTTGCGTCCCTGACGTGGCCATGACTTGTCCCAAATATGTCCTGCACACCGTGTCCCAAAAACTACCCAGAATGTTTAGGACATACCTGCGCCCCAGATATTGCCTGCACATCGTGCTTCCTTCGTTTGGTTGAAAATTTGCTTACGTCCCTAATGTGGCCGGGAAGCGTCCCAAACATTGCCTGCACACCGTGCCCACAAACTGGCTAGAAATGCATGAAAATCAGGTTGCATCCCTACTGCGGCCAGGACGTGTCCCAGACATGGCCTGTACACTGTGCCCACAAACTGTCGAGAAATGCCTGAAAATCAGGTTGCATCCCTGCCGTAGCCAAGACGCGTCCTGGACATGGCTTGCACACTGTGTCCCAGAAACTGCCTAGAAATGCTTGAAATAAGGCTGCATCCTAGACATGTCCTGCACACCGTGTCCCAGAAATCCTAAACCCTAAGTCCTAAACCAACGATGGACCCTGGATCTTGAACCCTGGACCCTGAACCCGAAACCTTGAACCCTAAACCCTAAACCATTCTATTCTATTGTCTACAAAATTACTCAAATTTTATTTGAAAATCTCTCGGTTTTTCACTTAAAATGGCTTCACTCAAATATATTTTCTTATTTTTGACCATCGTGTTTTGGCTATGTGTCCTTTTTGAAGCAAGAGAGTTCGAAATAGGCTGTGAAAATAATTTATGGGCAGTTTCATCTTCTGTTGACGAGTTCAACAAATGGGCTGAGAGAAACTCATTTTCAGATTGGGGATTGTTTAGTTCTGAAGTATGATTCAAAGGCTGATTCAGTGCTGGAAGTGACTGAGGAAGACTACAAAATCTACAACAATGCCAATCTAATAAAATAACTCCACGATGGGGAAACTACAATTTCACTAGAAAAATCAGGTCCATTTTTCATCATTAGTGGAGCTGAAGAACATTGCCAGAAGGGTCAAAAGCTAGAGGTTATGGTTCTGTCCGATAAACATGGCTCCGAGTACAAATCTATAGTGCAGGCACCTTCTCCTCATCATCACCATCACCACTACCATGCACCGGTGCAAACCTCGACTAACGGTGGTACTGGTCTAAAGGTAGCGGAGGGGTTTGTTTATGGCACTGGGTGGTGGGAAGTTTGGTTTTGTTGTGTATACTAGTTTTATTATTTATGGGTTGTAGCTTTGAGCTACATTTTATTTTCATTATTCTTTGTCGTGGCTTGGACGTGTTCCGGACATGACCTGCACATCGTGACCTAGAAACTTCTCAGTGACCATTTCTGCAAGTTTTTAAATTTCAGTGATCGTTTCTGAAAGTTTTTAAACTTTAGTGATCGTTTCTACAAGTTTTTAAACTTCGATGACCATTTTTTAAAGCACCACCCGAAGCTTAAGTGACCGTTACCGAAAGTTTTAAACTTCAGTGACCATTTTGTAATTTTTGTGCAAGTTTTAGTGACCGTTTGTGAAATTAACCCGTTTGTATATGTTTTATAAACTTTACCAAACAGAGACAATATATTTCCCAAATGATTTTTTTCTTTTTTTGTTTGTTTTTCCCCTTGTGTTATAATATAAACTTGTACATAACATGTGCTAAATGAAAATTTGACAAAAGATTTTCCCAACTTTAACATATTTTCTGCATTAATTGGGAATGAAACATTAATGCATTGTTGCTTCAAACGTAAGCACGGTACTAAGTACCACTGTAATCGCGTCAATTGTAATTAATTTAGAAAGATCTTTTAATCCTCGTGTTTTGACTATTTTGTAAACACTTTCGTGAGAATCTCAATATCCAATTTAATAATTAATTTTTACGATTTTTATTGTTGATTAGTCACCGAATTCATAATAAAATTTCAATCAAATAAAGTGCCATATCAATAATCCTTCAAGGTTTAACGATCACGGAACACTATTGTAGTTTTAACTAACCGGGTTAGGATATATTTGGGATAATTTTTGCTTCGACTTTTACTTCTGATTCTTCTAAAAAGAGCTTTTTGAGAAAATCATATTGAATCTTTTTTTTTTTTGGGAAGTTCCTGTAAGATGATCTTCTAACAAGAAGAAATATTTCTTAAAAAATTATTCTATTTAAGCCCCTATTTGATTATCAACAAGAGCTATTTTTTAAATTATCATATCACTATAGTTATCAAATATTGATAAAATATCTCTTATAAAGACAATGTTATTTAAAGACTATGCAAGACAACGCGATGCTTCACTAGAAATTGTAATATTGAAGACATTGATGTACGAGACATGAATAACTTAATATAATAATTAAAATCAGGGAAGTAACTTTACCCTTTTTCCTTCGATCAAGTTTTATCTCATTGGATTTTCTTGACAATGTTTTAACGAAACATCATTTTATTACTCCAATTTATTTGTCTCTTTTTTAATTTATTGGCATTTTTGTCCCATAGGATTTTTTTTGTCAAACATGGTTTCAATGAGATGGTTATTGTACAAATAATCACCAAATAGGGAGTGTTGTAAAATAATAAGAAAATTATTTCTGATTATTTAGTACTATCATGATACATATATAAGTCTTATTTAGTTTAAAAGATCTATTTTATTCCAATTATACTTTTATTTTGGACCTTATAAATATAGGGTGTTAGTTCAGGCTGCTTCTAGGACATGGCCTGCACACCGTGCCCAACAACTTCTCAGAAATGCCTGAAAATCAGGCTGTGTCCCTGCCGTAGCCAGGACGCATCCCGGACAAGGCCTGCACATCGTATCCAAAAAATTGCATAGAAATACGTGAAAATCATTGTGTGTCCCTGAAGCATCTTCGACATGGCCTGCACACCGTGTCCTAGAAACTGCCTGGAAACTAGGCTGCATCCCTACCATGGTCCAGACGTGTCCCGGACATTGCCTGAACACCATGTTCCAAAAACTTCCTAAAAATACCTGAAAGTTTGGATGCGTCCGTGGCATCCTGGACATGGCCTGCACACCGTGTCCTAGAAACTGCCCAGAATTGCCTGAAAATCAAGCTCCATCCCTGCCTTGGCCACGACGCATCCCGAACGTGGCCTGCACACTGTGCCCAAAAACTTCCCAGAAATACCTAAAAATCAAGCTGCGTCCCTGTCGTGGCCCGGACGCATCCCTGTCATGGCATGTACACCATGTCCTAGAAACTGCCTATAAATGCCTGAAAATTAGGCTACATCCCTACAGTAGCATCGACGCATCTCGAAAATTTCCTGCACATCGTGTATAAGAAATTGCCTAAAAATACGTGAAAATCTTGATGTGTGCCTGCAGCATCCTGGACATGGCCTACACACCGTGTCCCAAAAATTGCCTAAAAATGCCTAAAAACTAGGCTGCATCCTTGCCACAGCCCAGATGCGTCCCAAACATTGCTTGCACACTGTGTTCAAGAAACTACCTAAAAATACCTAAAATTCAGGATGCGTTCCTGCCACATCCTGGACATGGCCAGCACACTGCATCCCAAAAACTACCCAGAATCGCCTGAAAATTAGGCTCTGTCCCTACCGTGGCCATGATAGGTCCCGAACATGGCCTGCACTCCAAGTCCTAGAAATTGCCAAGAAATGCCTAAAAATCATGCTACGTTCCAACTGAGGCCAAGATGCATCCCGGACATGGCCTACACACCGTGCCCACAAACTGCCTACAAATACCTGAAAATCAGGATACGTCCCTACTGCGGTCAGGACGCGCCCCGGACGTGGCCTACACACCGTGCCCAAAAAATTCCTAGAAATGCCTGAAAATCAAGCTGCATCCCTAATGTGGCGTGGACGCGTCTCGGTCAAGGCCTGCACACCGTATCCCAAAAACTGCCTAGAAATGCCAGTAAATCATGCTACATCCCAGTCGCATCCTGGACATGGCCTGCACACCGTGTCCTAGAAATTGCTAAAAATGCCTGAAAATTAGGCTGCATCCCTGCAGCAGCCCCGACGCGTCCCGAAAATTACCTGCTCATCGTGTCCAAGAAATTGCCTAGAAATACATGAAAACCAGGATGTGTCCCTGTAGTATCCTGGACATGGCCTACACACCGTGTCCCAGAAACTGCCTAGAAATGCCTGGAAACCAGACTGCATCCTTGCCGTGGCCCAGACGCATCCTGAACATTGCCTGCACACTATGTTCCAGAAATAGCCTAAAAATACCTCAAAGTCAGGATGCGTCCCTACTGCATCCTGGACATGCCTTGCAAGCCGTGTCTCAGAAACTGCCCAGAATTGCTTGAAAATCAGGCTCCGTCCCTACTGTGGCCATGACGTGTCCCGAACATGGCTTGGACATCGAGTCCCAGAAAATGTCAAGAAATGCCTGAAAATCGGGATGCTCCCTACCGCGGCAAGAACGCGTCCTGGATATGGCCTGCACACCATGCCCACAAACTGCATACAAATGCCTAAAAATCGACGACGTTCCTACTGCGGTCAAGACGTGTCCCATACATGGCTTGCACACTGTGCCCAAAAACTTCCCAAAAATCCCTAAAAATCAGGCTGCGTCCCTGCCATCGCCCAAAGGCATCTCATTCATGGCTTGCACACCGTGTCCTAGAAAACTGCCAAGAAATGCCTGAAAATCAAGTTGCGTTCCTGACGCGTCATGGACGTGGCTTGCACACTGTGTCCTAGAAACTACCTAAAAATGCCTTGAAATTAGGTTGCATCCCTACCGCGACCTAGACGCGTCTCAGACATTGCCTACACACCATGCACCAAAAAACTGCCTATGTAGAACCCCAAATAATTTTAAACACCTTAGTGGCACTAAGACATGAATATTGGATGGCTAAAGTATACTTTAGATTTTTTATCTCATTTGAGACCCATTTATGACATAGAAAACGTTCGATTTGGAAAATGATATCTAAAAAAAAGTTGTAGCAATTTGAGTTAGCTTTCCAATGCACTTTGAATTACCTCAATTAGATATCGGGAGAAGAAGTTATGATAGAAATACTAAAGGATTTACAATATCAACCGAAGTACGCAGAATATGAAAAGTCAAATTCCTACACGATTTTCTAGTACCTTCTTAAACCTATAACTCCCACATAAATGGCACCCATATTAATGATTATTAGGCCCTTCATTTGCCATTAAGTTGTGAGATTTTCACCTATAAATAGGCCCCAATGCATACACATTTTTCACACCAAGACAAAAGCTTCTAAGTATGAAAGAGAGAGTTTTCAAGTCTAGAAAAAAAGAAATGAGAGGGAGAAAAATAAGTTTTTCCTAGAAGTTTTGATGCTATCAAGAAATGTTTTCCAAGCATCAATTCTCAACTGAGTTTTTTTTTTAAACGTCAAAGGAGTGCATTTTTCCACAAGGTTCAAAGAATCAATCAAGGTAGGTAGAGGTGCAAAGTGTTAATTCGTGTTAAGTTATAAGTTTCTAGTAAATGAAGATTTATGTCAATGTTTGTATGTCTAATGGTACCTTCGGTACGGCATACACCTCCATGTCTAATGGTACCTTCGGGTACGGCATGTACTTCCGGTCGAGGCGTCTCATGACTCTACGTGTTTGGGATTCTACTGAAAATCCTACTATGAAAAGGTTTTTAAAGTTACAGCTTTGAAATGTATAGCTTGATCACGAACGCACCAATGATATCTATTGAGTTTTTCTTAACTCACGGGTTTAACCCCTTCTCTACAAATCGATATGATTCTACCATGAGCCTGGATGATGGAAAAGATGGAGAGTGGTGCAACGAGCCCATGGAAAACCCGGTGAACAAGTTATTTAGATTTATTTTTGTGAACGTTTTCAATGTTATTTCTTTAAAGTATTTGAATAACGCTGAACGTGAGAACAAGTTGTATTTTCTTCAAATAAATTACGTTTCATTATTTTTTTTATTCAGTGTTTTATTTAAAGTATTCGAAAGGTTGTTGTTAAAATTATCATTGTAAAAATTAAGCTTTCGCTAAAACATATTCTCCTATGACTAAACCACCAGTTAGTTAAGTAAAGTAAGTAGCATTCCGGTCCACAAGGGGTCGAGGCGTTACAGCCTAGAAATACCGAAATATCAGGCTACGTCCCTTGCACAACTTGGACATGGCTTACACATTGTGACCTAGAAACTACCTAGAAATGCCTGAAAATCAGGCTGCATCCCTACCGTGACCAGGACATGGCCTACACACCGTGTCCCAGAAACTGCATAAAAATACCTAGAAATCAGGCTGCATCCCTGTCGCGGCCCAGACGAGTCTCGGACATGGCCTGCATACCGCGTCCTAGAAATTGCCTAGAAATACATGAAAATCAGGCTTTGTCCCTACCGCATCCAGAATGCGTCTCGGACATGGCCTGCACACAATGCCCAAAAATTGTCAAAAAATGCTTGAAAATCAAGCTGCGTCCCTTCCATGGCCATGACTTATCCTGAATTTGGCATGCACACCGTGTCCCAAAAACTGCCCATAATGCCTGGGAACATTCCTATGCCCCTAAAATGGCCGGCACACCATGCTTCCTTCATTTGGTTGAAAATTTACTTACGCCCCTAACGTGGTCACGACGCGTCCCAAACATTGCCTACACACTGTGCCCACAAACTGCCTAGAAATGCCAGAAAATAAGATTGTGTCCGCAGCCAGGACACCTCTTGGACATAGCTTGCACACCGTGCCCATAAATTGCCTAGAAATGCCTAAAAATTAGATTGCGTCCGCGGCCAGGACGTGTCCCAAACATGGCCTGCACACCGTCTCCTAAAAACTGCCTAGACATGTCCTGAAAATAAGGCTATGGCCTGGACATGTCCTGCACACCGTGTCCCAGAAACCCTAAACCCCAAGCCCTAAGCCCTAAGTCCTAAGCCCTAGACCCTGAGCCCTGAACCCTGGACCCTGGAGCTTGAACCTGGAACCCTAAACCCTGCTGAACCCTAGACCCTAAACCTTGAACCTTGGAGCCTAAACCCTAAACCATTTTCCTTCTAATGAAGTAAATCAGTTTCAGAATTTTCTTCAAATGGCACAACCAGTAATTACACCATCGAAGAGCCAAGCTTGATGGAAGGACTTCAACGTGAAAAATAAACTTCAGGTGAAAATGTTTCAGTAAATGTGATACATGCACCAGTCAATCCTGATCGAAAGGAGAAGAGAGAATAATTCTTCCTTTGAATATCAGATAAAAGGCTAGTGGACAGGCGAAGAAGACAGGAGACTGATTCGCTTAGTACATCAATTTGGATTGAGGAAATGGGCTGTAATAGCTGAAGAAATGGTTGGTAGAGTGGGAAAACAATGTCACGAGCAATGGAATTATCATTCTCGTCCTCATATTAAGGACGTTTAGACTGAAGATGAAGAGAGAGAGTTAATTCAAGCACATGAAAGACTTGGAAATCAGTGGGCGGCGATAGCTAAGTACATTCCTGGAAGAACTAAAAATTCAACAAAGAATCACTGGAATGCCACAAAAAGGAGGTATATTTCAAGGAGAAAGATAAAGAAAGTAAAAGGACATAGAAGACAGTCAACACTATTACAAGATTACATCATAAAAAAGTATTTCAGTAATGGTTCCACCTCCACTAACTCAAATTCCGTTACCACCACCACTGCAGCAAATCCGTCCAACGCCGGCACACCACTCTTTGATGATGATGACTCTACACCCTTTTTCAGTTTCGAATCATGCAATGACGAAATGGATTTTATGAAAACCCTCTTTGAAAACAATCAATCTATCGATTCAATTACAGTCGATCATTGTCAACCAATGAATCTAGCTGAAGGGACATCTGAGAATACTTATAGCTTCAACATTGATGAAAATTATAATCATCCCAATATCTTCTTCACTTTCCCGGAGATTTTACAGACAACTAATTCTCAACTGCCTGCTATAGAATATGTGGAAAATGACGTATTCCATTCTGCTCCAAATCCTACGGGGAATAAATTTTTCCCTTCTGAGAATTCAGATTTAATCATTGAATTTAATTCTAACTTTCGAAGCGTGGAAACTGAAGCTTCACAGATTTATCCTGATGAGTTGTACTTTTCATATCAATGGGATGGAGGTAATGTTGGAAATACAAATTCAACAACAAATTTGCCAACAATTGATCAAGGTACAACCTTTGGAAGCACAATGGATAGGGATTGATGGATATGGTCTCATCTTCTCAGCTGCCTCATCAATTAAGTCCATACAATGGCTTCTTCTAATCTAGTTAATAATTATGATCCTATAATTATTGTGTTTTAGCTTAGTTAAACACTCTATAACTTTACAAATATCTGTAAAATTGAATTTTGCTACTTTGGTAGAACTTATTAAAGGGCAATTCAGGCAAAAAAAATCCTAAACCCTAAGCCCTAAACCTCGATGAGGCCACCTCCGACTTGAGATGCCCTAGTGTGGAAAGGGTGTGTATTGAGGTGAATTTGGTGCATAAGTTGCCCGAGAGGCTTTGAATTGAGCGCGCCGATAACCGTGGCTTTTGGTAGACAGTTATTTATTAGAAGCGGCCAATTTTTTGCTTCTCTTGTAAACACTTGGGCTATTCTTATTATCAGTGTACTACGGTTCCTCCTCCTGTCCCTACAATTCTTGTGCATCACCCTGTTCAACCCCCCTATTACTAGGACTAACAAGGATAAAGCTAAGGTGACATTTGTGGAGCTAAAGAAACAGTGGGTGCAAGTTTTAGCAGTGCCTTTTGTGCTTCCCACTACTACTATCGCAGTTATGACAGAGTCAGTATCTGCACCAGTAGTTCCTACATCTATTCCTATCATAGTTGATCCAGAGGTACCTCCGTATATTCATTCAGTTGCTAAGCCTACTCCAAATGCTCCTATCGAGGTGTCCACTTCTCCTATTCCCACAGCTACTACTGAGGTACCCCCTGAGCCGACACATATCAGTTCTCCACCATTAAAGACACACACAGATGGTACTCAATCAGTATAGGGATCAGGTACCGAGATAGTTCCTCAAACCACTCTTGCACAGGGGTTGTTGCTTGAGATCAGCTCAGAGAGACATGGTGTCAAGCATATGTTGATTGATCACTTGAAGGACCATGGAATGAAAGTTGGATCTACCATAAGATTTGTTATTGAGGACTTCGCTTTTAAGCTCTTTGGTGAGGAACCTTCTGTGAGTAAGGCTCCTACACATACACCTTCACCCGATCCTTCTATAACAGCTCCTACACAAAATAAGGTAAAAGAACATATACAGAGAGACATAGATGGCATGGGCCTTGGAGACTGCATGCAAAATGTAGAGGATGATGTTCCTATAGTCAGCAGGTCCTATGATTCAGATGTTGTAGCACAGAGCACCATGAGATTAGACACACCTACGACTAGTACCATGAGATCGGACGCACTTGCTTTTCGCTGGACATTCAGTACACCACCATCTGAACAGTAGTTTTCACCAAAGTAGGCTCCTTCACGCAAGCGAGACCCCACTCCAATGAGCGAGCTAGACAACACAGACTACTATGATTCGAAAATGTTTTAGACCAGACGCATGACCCGATCGATGTCTATGTACTGCCAGCCGAAGATTTACCCTCGGGGATACCCTTGAGCAGCTTTCACTAGTTTTTTGTTCGTGTCTTGTTTATTGTGATTGCATTTTATCTTAAGATATTTGTTACAATTTACATTTACTGGAGGTCAGGTCTACGCCCCCCTCCTTTAGTTGTATTCTCGCTTTTCATTACATAAAATAAACCACACTAGTGGTATTTGCTAAAAAAAAAAAAAAAGCCCTGAACCATAAACCCTAAGCCTTGGACCCTGGACCCTAAAACCTGAACCCTAAGCCCTAAACCATTATATTCTATTGTCTACAAAATTACTCAAATTTTATTTGAAAATCTGACAATTTTCCGCTTAAAATGGCTTCACTCAAAAATATTTTCTTATTTTTGGAGGTCATGTTTTTGTTGTGTGTTCTTTCTAAAGCAAGAGAGTTCACAGTAGGCAGTGAAAATAATTTATGGGCAGTTCCATCTTCTGTTGACGAGTTCAACAAATGGGCTGAGAAAACACATTTTCAGATTGGGGATTCTTTAGTTCTGAAGTATGATTCCAAGATTGATTCAGTGCTGGAAGTTATCGAGGAAGACTACAAAATCTGCAACAACGCCAATCCAATAAAATAATACCATGATGGAGAAACTATAATTTCTCTGGAAAAATTAGTCCATTTTTCTTCATCAGTGGAGCTAAAGAACATTGCCAGAAGGGTTAAAAGCTAGAAGTTATGGTTTTGTCCTATAAACATGGCTCCGACCACAAATCTACAGTGCAGGCACCTTCTCCTCATCATCGCTACCATGCACCGATGCCAGCCCCGACTAACAGTGACACTGGTCTGAAGGCGGCGGAGGGGTTTATTTGTGGTACTGCGACGGTGGGAAGTTTGGTTTTATTGTGTAGACTAGTTTTACTATTCATAGGTTCTAACGTTGAGTTACATTTTGTTTTAATTATTCTTTGTCACGTATATATTTCCTGGTTTTAATTCTATATTAATTAAAAAAAACCCTAAACCCTAGGCCCAAAAATTGCCAAGAAATGCCTAAAAAGCAGGCTGCGTCGTGCCATGGCAATAACGCGTCCCAGACTAGACCTCCACATCGATTCCCAAAAATTTCCTAAAAATGCCTAAAAATCAGGCCGCAGCAGGATGCGTCCCAGACTTGGCCTGCACACCATGCCCACAAACTGCCTAGAAATGCCTTAAAATTAGGCTGCGTCCTTACCTGCCCAGGACGCATCTCGGACATGTCAAGCTGTGTCCATACCGCGTCCTGGACATCGCTTGCACACCATGTCTCGAAAACTACCTAGAAATGCTTGAAAATCAGGCTGCATCCTTGCTGCAGCCCAAAAGAGTCCTGGACATTGCCTGCACACCGTGTCTAAGAAAGTACATAGAAAAATGTGAAAATCAGGATGTGTCCATACAGCATCCTAGACATGGCCTACACGTCGTGTCTCAAAAACTACCAGAAAACCAGGTTGCCTCCTTGCCACGGACCAGAAGCGTCCCGAACATTGCCTGCACATCGTGTTCCAGAAACTGCCTAAAAATACTTGAAAGTCTGGATGCGTCCTTACCGCGTCTTGGACGTAACCGGCGCACCGTGTCCACGAAACTACATAGAATTTCCTGAAAATCAGGCTCCGTCCCTGCCTTGGCCATGACACGTCTCGGACATGGCCTGCACAACGAATCCCAGAAATTGCCAAGAAATGCCTGAAAATTAGGCGGCATCCCAACCGAAGCCTGGATGCGTCTCGGACATGGCTTGTACACCGTGCCCACAAACTGCCTACAAATGCTTGAAAATTAGGCTGCATCCCTATAGCGGCTACGACGCGTCCCGGACGCGACCTGTACACCATGCCCAAAAACATCCCAGGAATGCCTAAAAATTAGGCTACATCTGTAACGCCCCTTGACCCGCATGGATGGAAACGTCACTCAACCATTGTACTTTAGCCATAAAGTTAGTTCAATATATTTTTAGTAGAAGGTATAAAGATTAAATTTCAGAATTTAATTAAACAATTTTCTTTTAACAATAATCCAATTCTAAAAGAAAACAATTTCAAAAAATGTTTTTAGAATGGGTTCCATGCATGTAACGACTATTGACGTGAAATTTTGGCAAAGCTTAAAAAGTAATGTTGTTGTTCTAGTTTTTTTTTTTTTTGTCTCAAATAGTAATTGTCAAAATAAATTTGTTTTCATAGCTATCGACCTTAAAACTTCAAAAATTTTTATTGTAAGGTAGTAAACTCCTTATAATATGACATAGTCAAAAATTAGCTTCCATCGACATCATATGGGGTATTAAAATATTTTTTCAAAACTCAGCAGCGACCCAGTTGAAAGGTAACCGATGCAGTTCACTTAAAATGGTATATAAAATTCCACCGATATCAAAACCAAGTGATTTCAATTTTATTCAGTAGATAATCCATGAGACTATCAAATTCAATTGGTTTCATCCAAAAATTCCAAATAACGAGTGAGTTATGAATTTTTGAAAACAATGGTAGAAGCTGAAAAACAGAGACAGCACCTAGCACAGTTTACTTTATGTGACATATAACATCTTTCTGATATTGGATTGACATGATTCCAAGTTTATTTAGTATATAACTTATTTGGCTATCCAATCCAACTAGTTTCGTATAAAAATACCAAGTAACAAAAAAGTTATTATTTTTTTAATGATGAGACAGAAACTGAAATTTCTGAAGAGACATCAAAACTTTAAGTCGCTAACTTTTTTTTTTCTTGTATACGGTGATTTGTAAATTTATTCCTATGACGCATATATACTTTCGAACGTAGTTTATTCATAATGAGTGTTTGTAAAATAGATCCACACAATATTCATAGGAATCAAATTTAAAGAAAGTGTAAACATCTCAAAATCAACTAAAAATGAAAATCACCGACTTCTCCATGACATGTTGCATCATCCTTTACCATCATCTACGCCCCAAGAAAAATCCATTCAATCTGTAGGAAGGGAATTAACCCATGAGTTTGAAACTCAATAGATATCGTCGGTGCAATTCGTTATCAAATTAGAAATTCCAAACTATAGATTCATACCGTCGCACGTAGATAGATTTCCGACAAAATCCAATTACTATAGCATTATCATAACATGAAGAGCCGGAGAATGATCATTCAAATTGTTGTAGTGCCGAAGCACCGTACCCGAAGGTACCATTTCATTCAAACATTTATCGAAAAATCAGATTTGAAAACGAATGAACACTTGCAGCTCTACCTACCTTGAATTTTCTTGGATAAAAGAACAAAATGTATAGAAAGCCTTCCTTCATCTCACCCTTGTTATACCTTAAGCTTAACTTGATATGAAATATATTTTTTTTGAGAGAAAATGAGATGAAATTCAGATTTGAAGAGAAGTGTAGTAAAAAAGTGACCTTCCACTTCTATAACTTTTCTTTTTAATGAAAAATTAAGGGGGGAGTTGTATTATCATTAAATTTATTAAACATAGTTTTTAACTAAAAATTTGAAAAGTCTCTAAGCCTTAAAAATAATTCATATGAAAGTTTTATAAAAAACATCTATATGGTGATTCGAACATGGGTTGCCTATATGAAATACCATGTAGATGACCATTGGGGCAACCCAGTTATTCATTAAATCATTGTAATCAATTTTACTTAAACTTAATCTCTTAAATTTTTGGGCTTTTAATTAACTTAATCTCTTAAATTTCTAGGCTTTTAATTAACTTATGACTTGGGCTTTCGTAACCTTACATGGGTTGAGCTTCCATAGGTCGTTTCTAAAATGGGTTAGGCTCGTGGTGCTAGATCATCACAAGATATTAGCATAATTCCATTTTATTTTTCTCGACTACTACAACCCTTACACCTTAAATAAAATTTTGTCCTCGAAATTTACCTTATGGTTGGACAAAGAGTGTTGGGTATTTTTCTTTAACTTTTTCTTCTCTTTCCCAAGTAGCTTCTTCTACTCGATGATTATTCCATTGTACCTTGACCAGTTGAATCTCCTTGTTTCGTAATTTATCTACCTTTCAATCCAGTATCTTGATTGGTAATTCCTCATAAGATAAGTCTTTTTGTACTTCCAAGGATTGGTAGTTGATCACATAGTCAGGATCATGCATATACTTTCTGATCATCGATACATGAAACACATTGTGAACTGTCGATAGTTCAGGTGGCAACGCCAATCGATAAGCCACATTTCCAACCTGTCAAGTATTTCAAAAAGTTCAATATAACGAGGTCGTAGTTTGCCTTTCTTGTCGAACCTAAGTACACCCTTTATTGGTGCCACCTTTAGAAAGACTTTCTCTCCAACTTCAAATTCCAAGTATTTTCTCCTGGTATCTACATAGCTCTTTTGTCTATCTTGCGTGGCCTTTATCCTGGTACGGATCTTATCACTGACTTCAACTGTTCTTTTAATGATCTCTGGTCCCAAAATTCTCTTTTCTCCAACTTCGTCCCAATGGACAGGTGATCTGCATTTTCTACCATAGAGAGCTTCATACGGTGCCATTCCAATAGTTGCTTGGAAACTACTATTATATGCAAATTCTACCAGAGGTATATGTGATTCCCAACTACCTCCTAGATCCGAAACACAAGCCCTTAGCATATCTTCCAAAGTTTGAATGGTCATTTCAGACTGACCATCAGATTGAGGGTGATATGCTGTACTGAAATTCAATTTCGTTCCCATAGCTCCTTGTAAGCTCTTCCAAAACTTAGAGATAAATCGAGGATCTCTATCAGATACAATGGACACGGGGACACTATACAATCTTACAATCTCTCTAACGTACAACTACGCCAGCTGATTTAGACTGAATGTCATTTTTATTGGAAGAAAATGAGCGGACTTTGTTAGATGATCCACTATTACCCATACAACATTTTGTCCTCTTGCTGACCTTGGAAATCCTACCACAAAGTCCATTGCAATATTCTCCCACTTCCATTTATGTATGTCTAATGGATTTAATAACCCTGTCGGTCTTTGATGTTCCACTTTAACTTGTTGGCATACTATGCATTTTGCCACAAATGAACCTATACTTCTTTTGATATTGCTCCACCAAAATGTATTGCGAAGGTCTAGATACATTTTTGTACCACAAGGATGCGCGACGTACGGGATGGAATGAGCCTCCTCCAACATCTCCTTCCTCAAAACTTCATCATTTGGTACACAAATTCTTCCTTTAAACATTAGTGCCTGATCTGAAGCTATTCCAAAAGTACCAATCTCGTTCTTGATCTTCTGCAAGAATGGGTCTCGAACCCCCAAAGTTGCTAAATGAGCAGTGACTTGTGCTGGTGTGGTAATCACTTCAATTTGCAACTTTTTCAAGTCTTTGATCAACTCCATCGAAATAGAAGGTAATGATGCCAACTGTCCCATCGACTTTCTGCTTAGAGCATCAGCAGCAACATTAGCCTTACCCGGATGATAATGAATAGTGTAATCATAACCTTTCACTAGCTCCAACTATCATCTCTATCTCATATTCAATTCCTTCTGTGTGAAGAAATATTTGAGACCCTTATGATCCGTATAAATATTGTTCTTCCCTCCATATAAGTAATGGCGCCATATCTTTAATGCATGAACCACTGTCGTAAGTTCTAGATCATGCGTCGAGTAGTTCTGCTCATGTTGCTTCAATTGCCTTAAAGTACAGGCAATTACTTTTCCATGCTGTAGCAGGTAACATCCAAAACCTTGTTTGGATGCATCACTATATATAACAAACCCTTCTGAACCTTCAGGTATGGTTAACATAGGTACTGTGATCAATCGCTGTTTTACCTCTTGAAAGCTTTGCTCCTGGACATAGCCTACACGGCGTGTACCAAAAACTACTTAGAAATGCATGGAAACCAGGCTACATACCTGTCGCAGCCCAGATGGGTCCCAACATTGCCTGCACACCGTGTTCAAGAAACTGCCTAAAAATACCTAAAAGTCAGGATGTGTCCCTGCCGTAACCTGGACATGGCCTGCACACCGAGTCCCAGAAATTGCCCAGAATTGCTTGGAAATCAGACTTCGTCCCTACCGCCTGCACATCGAGTCCATGAAATTGCCAAGAAATGCCTAAAAATCGAGATGCGTCCCTACCGTGGCTAGGACTCGTCCTTGACATGGCCTGCACACCATGCACACATACTGCCTACAAATGCCTAAAAATCAGGCGGTGTCCCCATCGTGGTCAAGCAACTCCCAGAAGTGACCAGCACACCTTGCCCAAAAACTTCCCAAAAATGCTTGAAAATCAAGCTGCATCCCTTTCGTCGCCCAGAAGAGTCCCATTCATGGCCTGCACACTGTCTCCTAGAAACTGCCTAGAAAGGTCGAAAAATCGAGCAGCGTCCCTGACGCATCGTGGACATGGCTTGCACACTGTGTCCCTAAAACAGCCTAGAAATGCTTGGAAATCTGGTTGCATTCCTACCACCGCCCAGACACGTCCCAGACATTGCTTGCACACCGTGCACCGGAAAACTGTCTAGAAATACCCGAAAATTAGGATACGTCCCTGCCACATCGTGGACATGGCTTACACTCTGTGACCTAGAAACTGCCTAGAAATGCTTGAAAATCAGGTTGCGTCTCTGCCACGACTAGGACAAGGCCAGCACACCGTGTCCCAAAAACTGCGTAGAAATGCATAGAAATCAGACTACATCCCTGTCAAGGCCCAGACGAGTCCCGAACATGGCCTGCACACCGTGTCCCAGAAACTGCTAGAAATGCCTGAAAATAAGGCTGCGTCCTAGACATGACCTGTACACCGCGTCCCAGAAACCCCAAACCCCAGGCCCTAAATCGTAAGCCCAAAGCCCTAAACCCTAAGCCCTAAGCCCTGACCCTAAACCCTGGACCCCGGATCCTAAACCCTGGACCCCAAACCCTAGACCCTGAACCGTGAACCATGGACCCTAAACCCTAAACCCTAAACCATTTTCCTTTTAATGAAGTAAATCAGTTTCAGAATTTTTTTTCAAATGGCACAACCAGTAATTACACCACTGGAGAGCCAAGCTTCATGGAAGGAATTCAACATGAAAAACAAGCTTCGGGCGAAAATATTTCAATAAATGTGATACCAGCACCGGTCAATCCTGATCGAAAGGAGAAAAGAGAATATTTCTTCTTCCAGATATCAGAAAAAACGCCAGTGGACAGGCGAAGAAGACAGGAGACTGATTAGCTTAGTACATCAATTTGTATTGAGGAAATGGGCTGTAATAGCTGAAGAAATGGTTGGTAGAGTGGGAAAAACAGTATCGTGAGCGATGGAATAATCATCTGCGTCTTCATATCAAGAAGGACGTTTTGACTGAAGATGAAGAGAGACGGTTAATTCAATCACATGAAACACTCAAAAATCGATGGGCAGAGATAGCTAAGTACATTCCTGGAAGAACTGAAAATTCAATAAAGAATCACTGGAATGCCACAAAAAGGAGGCAAATTTCAAGGAGAAAGATAAAGAAAGTAAAAGGAGATAGAAGACAGTCAACATTATTATAAGATTACATCATAACAAAGTATTTCAGTAATGGTTCCACCTCCACTAACTCAAATTTCGGTACCACCACCACTGCATCAAATCTGTCCAACGCCGGCACACCACTCCCTAGTGATGAAAGCTCTACACCATTTTTCAGTTTCGAATCACGCAATAACGAAATGGATTTCATGAAAACCCTGTTTGAAAACAATCAGTCCATCGATTCAATTCCAGTCGATCATTGTCAACCAATGAATCCAGCTAAAGGGACATCTGAGAATACTTATAGCTTCAACATTGATGAAAATTGTAATCATCCCACCATTTTCTTCACTTCCCCGAAGATTTTACAGACAACTGATTCTCAACTACCTGCTGTAGAATATGTGGAAAATGACTTATTCCATTCTACTTCGAACCCTATGGGGAATAAATTTTTCCATTCTGAGAATTCAGATTTAATCATGGAATTTAATTCTAACTTTCAAAGCATGGAGACTGAAGCTTCACGGATTTATCCTGATGAGTTGTACTTTTCATATCAATGGGATGGAGGCAATCCTGGACGCATAAATTTAACAACAAATCTGCCAACAATTAATCAAGGTACAACCTTTGGAATCACAATGGACACGGATTTGATGGACATGGTCTCATCTTCTCAGCTGTCCCCTCAATTAGTCCATACAATGGCTTCTTCTAATCTAATTAATAATTATTATCCTATAATTATTGTGTTTTGGCTTCGTTAAACACTCTATGACTTTACAATTATCAGTAAAACTGAATTCCACTACTTTGTTAGAACTTATTAAAGGAAAATTCAGGCAAAAAAAACCCTAAACCCTATACCATAAATCGTAAGCCCTAAACCTCGACTTGCCTCAACAGATTAGGGCATTGGTGCAGATCGACAGACATGGATTGCCCAGCTTTAGAGGTACAGTTTAGGCTATCATTATTGCATTTTTCTTGTACAAGGAAGTAGTACTTCCTCATTTACTTTGTTCATTTTTAATTTTTCAGTTGTTGCACTGTTGCTTTTTGGAGGTCACGTTTATGCCCCCTCCTTCCCTGTACTCTTGATTTTTATGAAATAAATACGGTTGGGAAACCCTTAACGCCCATCGACCTTCCTTGGTGGACCCTAAAAAGTTATTAAGGATATGTGGATGTCTTTACTAAAAAAAAAAATACCCTAAGCCCTAAACCTTGATGATGCCACCTCTGACTTGAGACGCCCTAGTGAGGCAAAGGTGTGTATTGAGGTGAATTTCAGGCATAACTTACCTGAGAGTGTTTCGATTGAGCGCGCCGATAATTGTGGCTTTTAGCAAATAGTTATTTATTAGAAGCGGCTGTTTTTTTGCTTCTATTATAAACACTTGGGCTATTCTTATGATCAGTGTACTACTGTTCCTCCTCCTCTCCCTACAGTTGTTGTGCATCTCCCTATTTAGCCCCCTATTGCTAGGGCTAACAAGGATAAAGACGAGGTGACATTTGTGGAGCCAAAGAAATAGTGGGTACCAGTTTTAGCAGTGCCTTCTGTACTTCCCACTACTACTATCGCAGTTGTGACAGAGTCAGTATCTGTACCAGCAGTTCCTACATCACAGTTGATCTAGAGGCACCTCCATATATTCATTCAATTATTGAGCCTATTCCAAATGCTCCTATCGAGGTGCCCACTTCTCCTATTATTACTTCCATAGCTCCTATTCCTATAGCTACTACTGATGTACCCCCTGAGTTGACACATATTAGTTCTCCACCATTGAAGACATACACAGATGGTACTCAGTCAGCAAAGGGTTCAGGTACTAGGATAGTTCCTCAAACCACCTTCACCCGATCCTTCTATAATAGCTCCTACACAAAATAAAGTTAAAGAACATATACAGAAAGACATAGATGGCATGGGCCTTGGAGACTACGTGCAAAATGCAGAGGATGATGTCCCTACAGTCAGCAGGTCCCATGATTCAGATGTTGTAGCATAGAGCATCATGAGATTAGACGCACCTGCGACTAGTACCATGAGATCAGACACGCCCGCTTTTCACCCGACATTCAGTGCACCACCATCTTAACAGTACTTTTCACCAAAACAGGCTCCTTCACGCAGGCGAGACCCAACTCCAACGAGCGAGCCAGACAACACAGACTACTATGATCCGAAAATGTTTCAGACCCGATCGATCTATGTACTACCACCCAAAGATTTACCCTCGGGAATACCCTTGAGTAGCTTTCACTAGTTTTTTATTCATGTCTTGTTTATTGTGTTTGCATTTTATCTTGAGATATTTGTTACAATTTACATTTACTGGAGGTCAAGTCTATGCCCCCCTCCTTTAGTTGTATTCTTGCTTTTCATTATATAAAATAAACCACACTAGTGGTATTTGGTTAAAAAAAATCTAAGCCCTAAACTCTAAACCCCAAGCCCTAAACCGTAAACCTAAGCCCTGGACCTTGGACCCTGAAACCTAAACCTGCACCCGGAATCCTAAACCCTAAACCATTCTATTCTATTGTCTACAAAATTACTCAAATTTTATTTGAAAATCTATTGATTTTTCGCTTAAAATAGTTTCACTCAAAAATACTTTCTTATTTTTGGACGTCGTGCTTCTGTTGTGTGTTCTTTCTGATGCAAGAGAGTTCGTAGTAGGTGGTGAAAATAATTTATGTGCAGTTCCATCTTCTGCTGACGAGTTCAACAAATGGGCTGAGAAAACACGTTTTCAGATCGAGGATTCTTTAGTTCTGAAGTATGATTCCAAGATTGATTCAGTGCTTGAAGTGACCAAGGAAGACTACAAAATTTGTAACAATGCTAATCCAATAAAATAACACCATGATGGAGAAACTACAATTTCACTAGAAAAATCAGGTCCATTTTTCTTCACTAGTGGAGCTGAAGAACATTGCCAGAAGGGTCAAAAGGTAGAGGCTATGGTTCTATCCTATAAACATGGCTTCGGCCACCAATCTACAGCCCAGACACCTTATCCTCATCATAACCATCACCACTACCATGCACCGACGCCAGCCCCGACTAACGGTGGTACTGGTCTGAAGGCGACGGAGGGGCTTATTTGTAGCACTACGACGGTGGGAAGTTTGGTTTTGTTGTGTAGACTAGTTTTATTATTCATAGGTTCTAACGTTGAGCTACATTTTTTTTTCATTATTCTTTGTCACGTAAATATTTTCTGGTTTTAATTCTAACCTGATTTATAAAAACTCTAAGACCCAAAAATTACCTAGAAATGCCTGAAAATCAGGTCGCGTCTCTGTCGCGGCTAGGATGCGTCCCAGACTTGGCCTCCACACTATGTCCACAAACTGCCTAGAAATGTCTAAAAATCAGGCTGTGTCCCTACCTGGCCAGGACGCATCCCGAACATGGTCTGTACACCGTGCCCAAAAACTGCCCGAAATTACCTAAAAATTAGTCTCTTTCCCTATCGTGGCCCGAACGTGTCCCTGACATGACCTGCACACCGTGACCCAGAAATTGACGAGAAATGCTTAAAAATCAGGTTGCGTCACAGACATCGCCTGCACACCATGTCTCAAAAACTACCTAGAAATGCCTAAAAATTAGGCTGCATCCTTGCTGCGGCCTAGACAAGTCTCCAACATTGCCTACACATCGTGTCCAAGAAACAACATAGAAAAATGTGAAAATCAAGATGTGTCCCTGCAGCATCCAAGACATGGCATGCACGCCATGTCCCGAAAACTGCCTGAAAACTAGGCTGCATCCCTGCCATGGATCAGACGCATCCCGAATATTGCCTTCACGTCGTGTTCTAGAAACTGCCTAAAAATACCTAAAAGTCTGGATGCGTCCCTTCACACCGTGTCCTGGTCATAGCCTGTACACCGTGTCCATGAAACTGCCCAGAATTGCTTGACAATCAGGCTCCGTCCCTGCCTTGGCCATGACGCGTCCCAGACATGGCCTGCACACCGAGTCCCAGAAATTCCCAAGAAATGCCTGAAAATTAGGTGACGTCCCAGCCGCGGCCTGGATGCGTCCCGGACATGGCTTGTACACCGTGCCCACAAACTGTCTACAAATGCCTAAAAATTAGGCTGCATCCCTAGCGCGGCCCAGACGCATCCCATACATTGCTTGCACATTGTGCTCTAGAAGCTGCTTAAAAGTACGTGAAAGTCAGGATGCGTCCCTGTTGCATCCTTAACGTGGCTTGCACATCGTGTCCTAGAAATTGCCCAGAATTCCCTAAAAATCAAGCTCTGTCCCTACCATGCCTTGACGCGTACCGGACATGGCCGACACACCGAGTCCTAGAAATTGCCAAGAAATGCCTGAAAATAAGGCTGTGTCCTTGCCGAGGCCAGGACATGTCCCGAATATGGCCTGCACATCGTACCCACAAACTGTCTATAAATGCCTGAAAATCAAGATGTATCCCAACCACAGTTAGGATGCGTCCCGGACGTGCCCTACACACAGTGCCGAAAAACTTCCTAGACATGCCTGAAAATCAAGCGACGTCCCTATCGTGGCCCGGACACGTCCTGGTCATGGCCTGCACATCGTGTCCCAGAAACTGCCTTCAAATGCCTGAAAATTTGGCTGCGTCCCTACTTCGTCCTGGACATGGCATCACACTGTGTCCCAGAAACTGCCTAGAAGGGCCTGGAAATCATGCTGCATCCCTGCAGCAGCCCCAACGTATCCCGGACATTGCCTGCACATCGTTTCTAAGAAATTGCCGAGAAATACGTGAAACTTAGGTTGGCCTGCACACAGTTTCCCAGAAAATGTCTAGAAATGCTCGAAAACCAGGTTGAATCCCTGTCGCGGCCTAGATGCGTCCAAGGCATTACCCGTACACCGTGTACCAGAAATTGCCTAAAAATACCTAAAAGTTAGGATGCGTCCTTACCGTATCCTGGACATGGCTTGCACATTGTGTCCCAGAAAACTGCCCAAAACTGCTTGAAAATTAGGCTCCGTCCCTGCCGTGGCCATGAT